TGTGAATATAAAAACAAATATTTAATCCATATATTTCAAGGGAACGAGACAAAAGGTTGTGATTTCATTTTTACTGTGGCAATATTTTTGCGTGATTTTTCCCTTTGATATATGGAACTAAAATATCAGATTTTTTTATTTCACATGTTGTGAGAGGCAAATGTTCCATTTTTGGATTATTTTTCGTCATGGTCGAATCATCGTCATATCAAATATTATAATTATAAAAAAAGACTTTTAAAAAAAATTGCGTACACTTTTAGTAATGTGCGCAGTATTTGACTTGGTTAATGACTTAACAATATATGAGTATAATTATGATGATATGTGTGGTAGATGTATCAAAGAATTACTTGGCATACTATAGTCATAGCATAGAGCAGTATTTTATCTATTTATAATTTTTTTTTTGGTATATAAAGACCTTGATCAAGATCTCTTAAAATCTATATAATTTTTTTTATAATTTAAAACAATCGACATGTCCAATAATCAAAAGAAAGACAGTTATGTTATCTGCAAATGTCCAGACTGTACAAAGTTGGATAGCTGTGGAAAGAAACAGAAAAGACAAAATGCACAACGATACTATGAGAAACATATAGTGCCTGTTGCCAAAGACGATGCAATGGGTAAATAACAAGAATAACTCGAGCTGTACATGTAAAATTAATATAAATTAATTCATAAAATAGATGTTCCTGAAGAACATTTTGACGACATGGAAGTAGATAGTATTGACAGTGACAATGACAATGATTATGATTACGAGAACGAAGGCGAAGGCGAATATGAAGACGAAAATGAAGAACAAAACATTGAATTTGATCAAGAAGGTAAGAAAATAAAATAAAATAAATGAACAAAATAATAATTGAAACTGATATATATTTTTTTTATTTTTTATTTTTTATATGATTATAATTGTAATTATATTTTTATTTCTACATCTTTACAACAATTATTCCTTTCCAGTTGACTTACCTTTGTCCCAAGAAGAGTCTATCTTTACTGCCGAAGATACAATTACAGGAGCATTTGTGGTTGATGGCGATGAAATTGAAGAAGGCGATACTGGTTTTGATTTTGAACAAGAAGAAAACTTTGATGAGACCAGTGGGACCTCAATAGTAGAATCAGGTATGAATTAATACGGTATAGACAATTAATCAATATATTAATTTAAACTAACTTAACCTTTGTCTTCATAGCTCGTCCTTCGTCTTTTGATAACATGCCCTTGTATATTCGCTTTGTTGCAGTATTCATTGTCATATTTCACTTGACCTTTTTGGTGGAAAGCGGTGGATCGATTCTCATTGAATTTTGTAATACTCTACTGTTTCTCTGTGATATGTCTGGCGCCCTTCCACTGACGATCAATAGCTTGAAGCATAAGACAGGATTTAACATAGCAACAGACGGAATGACAGTATACATTGCATGCTCACAATGTCATTCGATTTATCCTCCGGAAACAAGTCAAAGAGTCTGTACATTTAAGAAATTCTCTCAATCCGCCATTTGCAACAACAATCTCTTTAAAGTGTCAACCGGAAATCATTCTCTTCCAGCAATGGTATATCCATTCAACTCTCTGAAGTACGCCTTGCAACAAAAATTCTCCAAGCCAGATTTCGTGTCCAAGATCAATTTGTGGAGAAATCATCAAATAATTGAAAACACCAAACTTGACATTTTTGATGGTGCAGTTTGGAGTGATATTAAAGACATCAATGGCAGACGGTTTGTTGATGATAGCCAATCTTTAATGTTGACTCTGAATATCGATTGGTTTCAGCCATTTGATGGACAAACACATTCCAGTGGTGCGATATATCTCTCTATCAACAATCTCCCACGGAGTGAACGTCTTAAGTCTGAAAATGTCATTCTTGTTGGTATGATATCTGGGCCGAAGGAAGCAAGCACTGACAGCATGAATCATTACTTGAAGCCGCTTGTTAACGAATTGTTGGAGATGTACATTGGTGTAGAAATGACAGACTCACAAAATAGAAAGATTGTTGTTTGTGCTGCATTGATGTGTGTTGCCTGTGATATCTCTGCCACTCGCAAAACCTCTGGATTTACTGGCCACATGAGCACATGCGCCTGTCACAAATGTCAACAACAATTCACGACTATAAAGAAGACCAGCAAGCTTGACTACTCTGGATTCAAGTATAGCAATTGGGTGAGACGCACAAAGACAATGAATCTGGAACACACTGTCAGCTAGGCAAATGCATTGAACAATACTGAGCAAACATGTCTAGAAAAAGAAAATGGCACTCGGTGGTCAGAGCTTCATTGGTTATCTTACTTTGACCTAGTCCGCTTTACAGTTATAGACCCGATACATAACCTCTATCTTGGAACTGCAAAGCAAATGATTCAGATATGGCGCGAGTGTAACTATATCAATGAAAAGAATCAGTTAACTATGCAAGAGCTTGCCAATGGTATTGTTGTACCTTGTGGATATGCGCGTATAACAAAGAAGATTGCCGATGGGTTTTCGTTCATGAAAGCTGACGAGTGGAAGTCGTGGTGCGTCATATACTCTCCATTTGTTCTGAAGCATGTGCTCCCAGCCAAGAATCTCGAAAACTGGATTTTGTTTGTTGACGCATGCCGCTTACTCACAAAACCTTCGATCAATGACAAAGAAATAGACGAAGCCCACAGTAAACTCCAATTGTTTTGTACAAGATTTCAGACACTGTATGGAAAATCGGCCGTGACACCGAATATGCATCTACATCTTCATCTTGGCGAGTGTGTTCATGACTTTGGGCCAATTTATGCTTTCTGGTTATTCAGTTTCAAGAGATACAATGGTTTGTTGAAGAATATCGAAACAAATCAAAAAGGCGGCTTTGAATCAACAATGATGAAGAGATTTTTGGAGAGAACATACATTGGCAGCTTCATACAATCTTTTGTCAACCATCTCCCCCAGTTCGCAATTGACTTTCTGCATCGCATTTCAAATAGTCAAGATCAATTAGCAGCATG